GGGGGGGGGGGGAAAGGAGCGCACAGGGCAGTATCTTTGGCTAGGTTTTCCTCTTTATTTACCATCTACAAATCAGAGAAGTAAGAGCTGGAAAGATCTTTTTGGTCATGTAGTCTGTGCCTGCCAACACAGAGTTGTTCCTTGCAACATCCCTCCCCCCCCGTGCTTTTGCTGGGCTAGTTTTAGATGACTAAGGCAGAAAGACTTTCACCACTTCCCTTGGGTAAACTATTCCACAGAGGATATCAGATCCAAGGAATCCAATGAAGTGCCAAGCACGTGCAACTGAATTCTGGGGAGAGGGGCAAAGTTTCTCATGTCTCTTTATGCCCGTTGTTCCCAAAAACCCAGCAGGGCTAAATTCACACCTAATACAACCAAGACAGTTTCAGCAGTGCTGGACTTGGCTGTCTGTTCTCTACTGCCTTAAAATACTCACGACTGAATTATCCAACTTTGAAATAGTGCCCTTCTTTATGGAAATCCTGACTATAGTTTGAAAGATCAATGGACCAAGAGGAAAAATGTTTTATCTGGATTGACCCACAGTAAAGGCAGCAAAGGAAGAGAACAGTTAACTTCTAGACCTGGTAATAAGAGCCCCAATTCCCTGCCTGTGCAGGTCCTGCAAGTGTGACCCAAGCCACCCAAACATCTAATGAGTATCATCTAACCCCAAACTAAGCCCTTGGAGTATAAGCTCTCAGGAACCCTGGCTCATCCTGGTCACAGACCCAAATCACCAACTGCAGTAAACTAGCACTGCTCCATTCACTTAAGAGGACGGTGCCCAATTTTACCAGCTGAGGGTTTTGCTTGCAGTTTCTTGCTGAAAGAGTAGGTGGGCATAACTGTATGCAGCAGTTTTTGGTGCACTAGCACCTCCAGTGCTGCTGTGTACTGGTCTCCTTTCAAGCCTCTACATCACGCAGTTCAGAAAGGATTGTACTTTCCCCATCTGCACAGGGCTACCAACAAAGAAGGGGTTATTCAGACTGCTTGGCTACTCCCCTACACTCAAGAAGGCAGGACGTGTACTTCTACCTCCACAGCCCCCCATCCCCTCCTTCTCATGAGGGCAGGGCACTGTGCACTTTGCCATAAGATCAGCTAGGGAAAGCTTAACTACAGTGTGAAGATCCATGACTTGGCAAGGCAGTAAGTCAAGATCATCTTAAATTTAGCAGCCAAAGTGAGGTGCATTTGCTTGTCTCACACTGCCTCTGTCCCTCATCCCCGCCCTTACCAACACCTCATCCATCATACATGCTGCCCCCTCCCACTCTCCTACATTTCTGGCAGCTCTGTGCTATTTCTAGGTGGCAGGGAAGGCTCTGCAGCACCTTCAGAGCTGCTTTTCTGTTCCACTGTTATACAATGCAGGCTGCCCCCATCCTAGAGAGGCTGAATTGTCACTAGGCTTGGTTACTGGCTGAATGCAGATGTTCTGCACCCTGCAGCACAGTGAAGTCATCCAGAAACTTCTCTGAAGCTGGAGCCACATCATCCTACTTGAATGAGACCATGCTGTGATCAAATATTACTTTCAGGGTCAACCTAAGGCCAAGTGGAGCTCTTTGCAAAGATATGCTTATAAGAATCCATCTAGCTTCCTTCCTGCTCACTGCAGCACACTTCTCCCCATCCACTGCACGCCTAGATAGATGTTGCAGCATGCAGTTAGTCACCTCTGAGGCTGCCACTTGTGGTTCTACTGTGGGTTTCTAGGTCTTGAAGTCCAGATGCCTGACTGGCTTCCTGGCCTGGCTTCCCTTGCTAGTTACTAGGAAACAGATAACATAAAAGGAGGGCAGCTGGACAACTCATTTTTGACTACCACTGGTGTGAGGCAGTGTCAGAGAGCAAACTGCAACTGGTACTTATTTAGGGGTATGGGGCTGCACCTTACTGGCCCCTGGACTACAGTGTCCATCAACAAGGCTGCCTAGACCTAAAGCGGTATCTGGTTATCTCATGTCAAAAAGAGGACAACCCAAATCAAGAGCTCTGACCTCTGGAGAAGGCAAGTTCTTGGACCCAGACTATTCCACCTACATGTAGACTTAGATGCCCAAGTCCAACTCTATTCTATACTGTTCAAGACCCTGAAAAATAACTGTTAATGCATCTGCTGCTGTTCTTAAGGGCAAGATGACAGAACATTACAAGGCAGCCCAGAGGAAGAAAAGACCCACCCACCCTTTTGTATTAAACTGTTTGTTTGTTTTTTTGTTTTTTTTTTTTAAACAGACTCCAGCCAAGCAGAAAACATGTGGATGTCTCAGTTCAATTACATGCCCAATAGGTGGAATGGGATCTGGTCCTCAGTGTCACAGCATGGGACCCATCTCTAACCACGACAGTTTATCCCACAGAACAACCTTTTAAAGCAGGGGTTTTGAACAAGTGTACCTCTTCTCTCAAAATTGCAGCTCATGTACCCCTTTATTTTTTCTTGGTTTTAAGGGGGGCAGATTGAAGCCACTAAGGTGAAGGAGAAAGCAGCTCCTGATGGTGCACACACTTTAGGAGGGGATGCGTCCCAGATCTGCATGGGGTAGGGCACAGGACTGAGCTGTGCAGGGGGCAACTCCTTCACCTACATGCATCCTGGGAAGGCATGGCTGGACATGTGCCTCCAGATATGTGCATTGGGCAGGGCAGGCTGGAGCCAGCACCCCCAGTGCCAGTGCCACCTGCCCCAAGCACCTGTGGTTCCAGCCTGCAGCTGCAGCCTGCCCCGGGCACAGGGGGGGGGGGTGCCCCCAGATCTGCATGTGTTCCTGGCAGGAGGCTGGGCTGTACTCAGGGCAGGCAGCAGGGGCACTGGAAGGGAGTTATAGGAGGGCTACAGTCAATTCTGGGGTGGCTGCAGACCCACCATAGCCCTGTTCCCAGTACTGCTGCTGCCTGCCCTGAGTACAGTCCAGCCCCCACCAGAAACACCCCAGCCTGTTTGCCCCATACAGTTCTGGGGGCATGGATTCCCCTCCTAGTGTGCACAGTGGCAGGAGATGCCCCCCTCTGTGAGGCTCAGTTGATGCCCCACCCTGACTGGGCAGCCCCTGCCCCTCACAAAACACTTACCAGCAGAACCCAGCTGCCTTGTGTGCTGTGCTGCACATGCAAAGCATTTAAAAAAAATGCTGCCATATTAGGTCTGAGTATCCCCTAGGACCTTTAAGTACCCCTAGGGATATGCACACCCCTGGTTGACAACCACTGTTTTAAAGGACAGAAGTTGAAGCCCCAGTAAGTTTGCATACAAGCCATTTGTTCAAGGCTACAGACAGACAAGTCCCATTTCAAAGGACAAATCAGATGATGCTGTAATCCAAAGAGAGGCAAATAGGAATAGACCGAGTCCATTTCATTGCCAGCATTTCTCCACTGGGTTCCACAGGAGTTGCATCCCAGATGAATTTGGCCCAAGGAACTGAACTGGGTGCTTAGAGGAATGTAGATATACGCAAGAAGGGCAAGAATAGCAGAATGCAATACAGTGTCATTTCACTCAAGTTACTAGATGTTTCAGCTTAGGGCACAGTTATGTCTGACACTCAGTAAGGCTAACTGCACCTTGTCATGCATCTACAGATGCATTGCAAGCAAGTCCAGGGAGGCGATCCTTCCCCTTTATGTGGCACTGGTCAGGCCGCAGTTGGAGTATTGTGTCCAGTTCTTCAAGAAGGTTAGCCACATCCCCAAGGGGGTCCAGACGAAGACCACTTGCATGGTCAGGGGGCAGCAGGCCAGGCCCTACGAAGATAGGCTAGAGGGCTTGAGAATCTATTCGGCCTCCACAAGAGAAGACTGAGAAGGGATCTGGTGGCTATCTACAAAACTCACCGGGGGGCCAGCAGAAAAATAGGCAGGGCTCTAGAGGTTCCCCTGGGCACCACCTGGGATAACAAGTAATAAACAGCTACAAATCGATTGAGAGCAGGTTCAGGCTTGATATCAGGAGGCATTACTTTATGGTTAGGGCTGCCAGGCTCTGGAATGGGCTCCCCAAGGAGGTCGCGCTCTCCTCTACCTTGGGGGTCTTCAAGAGGAGGTTGGATAGATGTCTGGCTAGGGTATTATGATCCCAGCACTTGTTCCAGCCCAGGGCAGGGTTTCCGACTTGATGATCTGTTCAGGTTCATTCTGACCCGAGAAACTATGAAACTCAGGCCAACTGATCACAATCCATGCCACTGGACAGGTTGGCCCATGTCAGTCCAGCTGGCTCTCCTACCCATGTCAAAGGAACATGGAGGTAGGAATGCTGCCCAGTGAGACTGGGGCTGTGTTGCACCCCTGGGGCATGTAAATAAGCTTGTATGATGCCCTGCCCTAAATTACACTTGGATTGTTCAACCTATTACATACCAAAGCAGCACAACTTGGGTGCCTGCACATTATACTGACCTGTTCAAAAATGCATTGCCAAAAGCATTCAGTTTCCTGAAAGGTTTTTTTGGATCAACCACTAGTGCGTTTCCAGGAATGACCCCCTCCACATCTCCCTGCATCACGGCAATGAAGGAATCTGTGGTAGGCTCTGGTCCAATCCGCATCCCTGGAAAGTCCTGTTCCAGGAGATACCTAGAAAAGAAAGCAGGGTATGGTACATGAGTTCTACACTGCTCAAGTATTATCTGGGTAAACGGCATTTACTAAGTGTAAACATGAACAACAGAGTACCATTCCTTCCCCCAGCTTATTTCTAGCCATTGCACTGAAATCCCTTTGACGCAGCGCAAGCTTTTCTCTTGGGAACTTGAAGTTAAAAGCTACCTTAGCCCATCCAGATCAAGAACAGCTGCTGTGAAGGGATTCTCATCATCTACCACAAGCCTGTGACCCATTCATTCTTTTACCCTAATACAGTGAAAGCCACTCTATTCATTGCAGTCAGAGTGTTAACTCTTAAAAAGTAATAACATCAGATGTTAAACCACTTCCAATCTCTTATGCACAGCCATTCAACTAATGGGCTTGGCTCACAATCCAAAAGTCTTTCCCAGATGCCAAAACCCAAGTGTCCAATCTGCAACTCTCTCAAGCTTCCCTAACCATCACAGTGGCTTCTGCAATTGTTAGATGATTTTCATTGTGCTATAGAAATTTGTATAAAGTGGAGGAGCACCACAAATCTCAATAAATTGATATTCATAGAAAGTTAGGATTGGAAGGGACCTCAGGAGGTCATCTAGTCCAGCAGTTCTCAACAGGTTTGTTTCGTTTACCAGGACCCATTTGTAAACATTGATGGCCAGTCCCGACTCCGCGCCCCTTGCTCCTGACCCACTGCCCCCACATCCAGGCCTCAGTTCCCTAGTGTGTGGGGTGGGGCAGTCCTCCCCTCTCCCCCCACAACACACTTACAGGCTGGCACTGTGGCCTGCAGAGAACACCCCCCCCCATGGGTTGCCCATGTTTTTCTCCCTTAAACAGAAAATCCATTTTTAAAAGTTTGTTGATCTGTTTTCAAAGTTTGTTCGCAACCCTTTTCTATATTCTTGTGACCCATTTTTTGGGTTACAACCCATGGGTTGAGAAATACTGATCTAGGCCAACCCCCTGCTCAAGCAGGACCAGCCCCAACTAGATCATCCCAGCCAAGGCTTTGTCTAGCTGGGTTTTGAAAGCCTCCAAGGATGGAGCTTCTACCACCTCTCTGGGTAACCTGTTCCAGTGTTTTACTACCCTCCTAGTGAGGATTCTTCCTGCCATCTAACCTAAACTTCCCTTGCTGCAAAATCAAGATAGTTGCTCCATGTTCTGTCATCTACCACCACTGACAGCAGTCCAGCTTCACCCTTTTTCAAACCCCACTTCAGGTCATTGAAGGCTGCTATTAAATCCACCCTCAGTCTTCTTGTCTCTAGATTAAATAAGCCCAGTTCTTTCAGCCTCTCCTCATAACTCATTTGCTCACCCCTTCACCATTTGTTGCCCTCCACTGGATTTTGTGGAATTTGTCCACATCCTCTCTGTACTGGGAGGCCCAAGATTGAACACAGTACTTCAGATGTGGCCTCACTAGTGAGGAATAGAGGTGAAGAATCACTTCCCTTGATCTGCTGGCAACACCTACCAGTACAGCCCTGTATATTGTTAGCCTTCTTAGCAAGAAGGGCACACTGTTGGCTTATATTCACCTTATTGCCCACTGTAGCCTCCAGGTCCTTTTTTGCAGGGCTGCTGCCCAACCAGTCAGCCTCCAGCCTGTACTAGGGCAGAACAATCCCATGCACCAAGTGCAGGGCTTTGCACTTGTCCTTGCTGAACATCATGAGATTTCTTTTGGCCCAACCCTCCAATTTGTCTAGGTCACTCTGAATCCTAGTCCTACCCTCCAGTGAGTCTACTAAAACCCCCAGCTTGGTGTCATCTGCAAACGCGCTGAGGGTGCACTCTATGCCATCTTCCAGATCACTGATGAAGACATTGAATAAGACTGGCCCCAGCGCCAACCCCTGGAGCACTCCACTTGATACCAGCTGCCAACTAGATGTTGAGCTATTGATTACTGCTCTGAGCCCGATGCTCCGGCCAGTTTTCTACCCACATTACACTCCACTCATTCAGCCCATATACTTCCTTAGCTTGCCTGGGAGAGTGCATCAAGAGTACACCGTATCAAGGTACACCATATCCACTGGTCTCCCCACATCCAAAGAACCAGTCACCTCATCATAGAAGGCAATCAAGTGGTCAGGCATGACTTGCCTTTGGTGAATCCAAGGCAACTGTTCCTAAGTCACCTTCTCCGCCAAGTCCTTAGAAATGGATTCCCTGAATATATGCTCCATGACTTTTCCTGGGACTGAGGTGAGGCTGACTGGTCTGTAGTACCCATACTAAAGAAGAGGAAAATGGAGGATCCAGGGAACTGTTTGCCCTTTTCTAGTCATCTGGAACCACTCCTGATCACCACAAGTTTTCAAAGATGATGGCCAATCACTCTGTAGTCTCAGCAACCAGTATCCTATCTGACCCCATGGACTTGTTTATGTCCAGCTTTCCCAAGTAGTCTCTAACCTGTTCTTTCACCACTGTTGGCTGCTCATGTCCTCCCCAAACTGTGCTGCCTGGTGCAGTAGTCCAGGAGCTGACCTTACTTGTGAAGACGGAGATGAAAGAGGCATCGAGTACTTCAGCCTTTTCTGCATCCTGTCACAAGGCTGGCCCCCCTGTTCAGTAAGGGACCCACAACTTTCCCCAAACCTCCTCTTGCTACTGACATTTGTAGAAACTCTCCGCATCCCTTGCTAGCTGCAACTGCAGTTGTGTTTTGGCCTTCCTGACATCCCTGCATGCCTGAGCAATGCTTTTACACTCCTCTCTATTTATACGTCCAAGTTTCCACTTCTTACAAGCTTCCCTTTTGTGACTTAGTTTACTGAAGTTCCCTGCTAAGCCAAGCTGGTCTTCTGCCATACTTGCTAGTCCTCCTGTGCACTGGGATGGTTTGTTCCTGCACTCAGTAAGGCTTCTTTAAAAGTACAGCCAGCTGTCCTGGACTCCTCTCCCCCTCAGACTGGCTTCCCAGAGGATCCTACCCATGAATTCCCCAAGGGGAGTCAAAATCCAGGGTCCTTACACTGCTGCTCTCCATCCTTCCTTTCCTCAGGATCCTGAACTCAAATCAGGATTAAGTTCACAATTAAGTGATGCATATAGTACAGCATGCTTCATTTTTAATACCACCCCCAATGCTGTTGCTAAGCTTCAGCTAAGAGTGCTATAGACCTGTAGGGCAAGTGTGTTAGTAGTAAACACGACTTTGAGCACAAGGCTGGTGAAGCATACAAGGCTGTGCATGCTGGCCTGATCTTGTCTAGTCTGAGTGCTGGCTTGTAAAAAGAACACTAGCCAACAGTTGGACTGTATGTGTTGGTTTAATATTGTTTTGTACTGCTCTCTCAAAGGCAAGTAAGCTGGCAGTTCATTTTTTGGCACAGCACTGAAATTAGTCATGGAGGTGAGGAAAACTAGAGTAGGATTGTACAGGCTCTGCACGTCACTAAAGGAAAAAGGAACTGGGCTGGATTCTGAGATTACAGTTCTTAATAAAAAGCAGTGTTGTTTCAGTGAGATGAGTCATGTGAAGGAAGATTTAGAGAAAGGACATGCCAATCTTCATCCATCCTCCCAACGGATGCAGAGCAAATCGCTCATCTTTTCACTCTTTCCACCATCCTAATGAAGGTCATTCTTATGTACAAGAGAAGACAGCTAGGCATACTGGGAATTACAAAAAACTCTCAAGGATAGACCCGAGGAAGGATGTCTTACATTTGAAAAACTTGTCCAATTTTATCCTGACTACATAGTTGGCCCAATAAAAAGATATCAACCCAAGAAATCCTGGCTTCTCAAAACCTTCCAAGCTCATTTAGCATGATATTGGTTAAAAACCAAGGCTCACAGATGGAAATGCATTTTCAACTCTTGCTGGGTGATAACAGAACTACACTACAAATAAGAGTAGGATTTAAAAACGAAAAAGAAAAGAAAAGACAATGTGGCCAGGAACTATAGCAGTTTGATGGCTATTGACCATGCAAAGATTCATCACCACAGTGATTTCACTGAAGGGCTGGTCCCAATGCCTTAAAAGCAATTTATCTTGCATTTCTGTGGAATCTTTCATTTCAAAGTGCTTTGGAGTTCTGTACAGATTAGAAAACCTTCCCAGTACAGAAATGTTAGCAGCTTTGGAATGAAGTTTGAAAGTTGTGTTGGCAACATTAAATAATTTAAGAAGGGTAGGGATATAAACTCCAAAAGCCAATTAATCTTCAGCCAGGTTACTTGCAAACATCTGCAGTTGGCTATTGATGGGGTTCTCAGATTTTTCTGCAATAGAAAAAAAACCCAACCACACTGCCTCCTAGACCCAGCTCCCATGTCACAGGTGATTATGTAGACCACTTGCTTTTTTGGGTCACAATCATATTGCATCCCTTGCAGCAGCTAGAGCAAAATCTTGCACACAGACAGCAAGGAAGCCAGAGAGGTAAGTTTTGTTTTCTCACAGATTCAGCAGCTGGAAACTAGGAGGAGTAAAGACCATGTGGCCAAACAACTTTGTCATCCTGAGCAAAGACATGAGTGACTGAACTTCATTCCCAGGGCAGCTCACTTTTCAGAGGCAACCCTTAAGTGTACTGATAGATCCTAGAAGGTATGAACTGGCCTCCTTCACAGCAGTGCAAGAGGTTTATTCACTACAGCATGCTTCCAATATATTCTTCATTTCCATTTACTTGACTCCAAGTCATAAGATTTGATATTGTATACAGAAGGAAGAGGGAGACAAAACACTACCCACAAGCTAAGCACTGATTTGAGAGAGTTACAGCCTTTGGTACTCCATCTCCAAATGCTATGGTGAGACAACTGGATAGCCCGATAGCTTTTGAAAACGTATTAGGCTAAAACAAAAAAAAACAAAAAAAACTACACACACACACACACACACACACACACACACACACAACTTGAAAAAATGCATTGGCATGGTTTACAACTGCACTGAAATGGGCATGGCCAAGCTAATACATTAGTTTTGGGCCACGTATAGACATTATACT